TAAATGTTTTAAAGATTTATTTACTTGAAAGGCAGAGATAAAGAGAGGGAGGGAGGGAGGAAGGGAGGGAGAAAGGGAGGAAGAGAGGGAAAAGGAGAAGGAAGGAGGGGGGGAGGGGGAGGGGAGGGAGAGCTTCCCCTATCTGCTGGTTCACTTCCCAAATGGCCACAAAGGCCAGAGCTGGGCCAGGCTGAAGTCAGGAGCCACCATCTTCCTCTGAGTCTCCCAGTCTCCCACTTAGATACAGCAGCCCAAGTACCTGGGCCATCTTCTGCTGATTTTCCAGGCGCACCTGCAGGGAGCTAGACTGGAAGTGGAGCAGCTGGAACTTGTAGTAGGCACTACAGTCAGAGGCTTAACCTTCTATGTCACAGCACCAGGCCCAATAAAATAAATCTTTTAAAAAGTTTAATTATTTAGTTTTATATTCCACACTGCAGTTAACCTAAAGAGACTGCTGTCTGTTGAGTTTTGGTATGATATTAAAAAAAAACAATTATCTGATAAGGTTCTTAACATGGTTTACTCTCTTTTCCGACAACATATCTGTGTGAGACTAGACTTCCTTTATACACTTCTTCCATCACAGCATATTAAAACAGATTGGAAGGAAGCTGGATGAGAAGCAAAGTGGCCAGGACTGGAACTAGGCAGCTCTGACTGGGATATGGAGGACCCATGTAATATCTTAACCAAATGCCTGACGCCACTTTTTATTTTAGGTTTCTTTTTTTTTTTTTCCCAATAAGCTGTCAATTAAACCAGCTTTCTTGGCTAGAACCATTGGAACACTTATACTCTTTTGTGGAATGAATGTTGCTTGATTATAGAATTCAAAGTAAAGCCAATTAACCTTAAACTGTCATGTTTTTAAAGTGTGGTATCATGAAGACTACAAATATCTTTTAACCACTCTTCACCTTCTTCCCCCATTATTCACCAATATGTCAACCACCATAATTTCAAAAAAATATGAATTTATTCACTCAGTAATCTCATAATAAAACTTGTAAAATGTTTGCTTATTTGAGAAGCAGAACAGACACAGAGAGCCAGAGCCAGAGTAACAGACAGGAAGAGCGTGAGCTCCCAGCTGCTATTCGACTCTAAATGCCTGCAGAGTCCAGAGCTGGGCCAGAGCAGAAGCTGGGAAGGACCCAGCGACTAAGCCATCACCTAGTGCCTCCTGTGGTCTGCATGAGCAGGAAGCTGGATCAGGAGCAGAGCCAAGGTTGAATCCAGGAACCCTGATATGGGACACAGATGTCTTAGCCTCTGGGCAAAAGGCCTGTCCCTCATGACAAACTTTATTTATTTATTTTTATTTTAAAGGTACAGTTGGGGGGCAGGGAACAGAAAGAGAGAGAATCTTCCATCTGCTGGTTTACTTCCCAAATAGCTGCAATGGCCAGAGCTGGGCCAGACAGAAGGCAAAAATTTCTCTTGGGGCTCCCATGTGGGCATGGGGGCCCAAGGACTTGGGTCATCTTTTGCTGTTTTTTTTTTTCCCCCCCCAGGTACATTAGCAGGGGGCTGATTAAGAAGTGGAGCAGCTGGGACTCAAACCAGTGCCCATATTGGATATTGGCATCACAAGTGGTGGCTTTATCCACTATGCCACAATGCTGGCCACTTTATGATGAAATTTTAAGGAGTTTCTGTTTGCTTAGGATAAAATTAAACATTTCTGCCAGAATGTTCTTCACAGTTTTTTGTTCAAATGTCCCAGTCATTTATAAATGGACAACTAGGAGTAAATATTAGGGGAATGTCCCTTGCATTTAAAAAATTAGCTTTTTTTTATTATTATTTGACAGATAGAGTTAGACAGTGAGAGAGACAGAGAGAAAGATCTTCCTTCCATTGGTTCACCCCCAAAATGGCCGCTATGGCTGGAACTACGCCAATCCAAAGCCAGGAGCCAGGTGCTTCCTTTTGGTCTCCCATGTGGGTACAGGGCCCAAGCACTTGGGCCATCCTCCACTACCTTCCTGGGCCACAGCAGAGAGCTGGACTGGAAGAGGAGCAACCGGGACTAGAAAGAACCTGGTGCCCATATGGGATGCCGGCGCCTTGGGCAGAGGATTAACCAAGTGAGCCACAGTGCCGGCCCCTAAAAAAATTAATTTCTAAATAAATATGTAATTCTTCTAATTAAAACATAGCAAGCCAAATGTTTTATAGTATTATCTATTAGTGAGGAGCACTGGACTCTTTTTCTTATTAGAACGTACCTCTATAGATTACATTTTTAAAAATAATTAAAGACAGAGTTAAGGATACATTCAGCAGTAGCTTCATTCTTCCTGTGCACTGTAGGATTTTTTTCCCATTGTGAAATTTCAATTATATAGATTGTCTGGATATGCCTTAATAAGCTTAGAGAGATAAGCCCTTGAGATTGATTTTATAGGGTTACTTTCATAATTTCATTTCATAGTTAAAAAGTATTACATTTATAATTATGCTTCTGGCAGAATAAGCACTTTCCGTCAACATCTGAGAGGGAGGAGTTCATCTGAACTACACAAAGCTGCTTTTCATTTGAACTGCAAAAAAACCTGCTTTTCTGTAAGTCAGAGCATCACTGCTAGGTTGTACTTGGGGAACATTTTGTTCTACAGTCATACTTAATTGGGTATTAATGGTGCATTTTAATCCGCTTTGTATAAATTAACAGCAAAAAGAAGACAAAGCATTTTTAAGTATATTCTTACAAAAAGCGTGCCATTTACAAGAGAATTTATATCAATAGATTATTAAATGTAAAACTGGTGATTGAGACCCAACAAATGAATCATGAGTATACAAGGTAGTGGCTGAGTGGCTGAGGGACAAGCAGGAGCATCTCAGCCAAGTGAGATAAGGAAGTGTGACGGGTAAGTATCCACTCGTCTTTGGGCAGTGGTTAATGAGATATATCTTTCCAACTCTGCATAAATATTTAAGCATAAATATTTATGAATCTATGTGTTTCTTTCCTTTATAATATAATGTTGACCTGAGGGAAATAAATTTAAAAAAATACTTTGACCTCTTCCTTAAGATAATGCAAAGTATGAAACAGAGATAGAGACTAACCATGGACAGTAGTGCTTGGAGGCATGCATAGAAATTACCCAACATGTGGCCTTCCTGAGATTAGTATCCAAACTGCAACTTCAGTAAATGGGACTACATTCACTGATTTTTAAAGTGCGCATCAGATGCAGATTCCAGTTCCCTTCTCTGTCTTTACATAGTTTTCTAAACAGGCCAACAGAGTTTCAACGGGCACCATTACGTTTTGTCCAATTTACTCTGCTTAAAAGTATCAGTGTCTCTTTCAGAAAATTATAACATATAAAAATATATAATTTAAATTGTGTTGAGAAAAATAAACATTAAATAGAATTGGATAATAGCTTCAATAATTAATAACTTCTTTCAAATCACATACTTTATGCTGCTGCAGTCTTTTCCAGTTTTCTTTTTTTTAAAAAAATAATTTATTTATATGAAAGTCAGAGAGAGGGAGAGGCAGAGAGAGATCGTCCATCCATTGGTTCATTCCTCAGATGGCTACAATGGCCAGAACTGGGCCAGGCTGAAGCCAGGAGCCAGGAGCTTCACCTGGTCTCCCACATGGGTGGCAGAATCCCAAGTACTGGAGCCATCTTCCACTGCTTTTCCCAGGCCATTAGCAGAGAACTGGATTGGAAGTGGAGCAGTGGGGACTCCAATCAGCATCCATATGGGATGCAGGCATCTCAAGCAGTGGCTTTACAAGCTGCATAATGCCAGCCCCAATAAACCCAGTTTACTTCTTTAAAAAAATTCTGACTTAAGGGCCAGTGCTATGGTGTAGTAGGCTAAGCCTCCGCCTGCAGCACCAGCATCCCTTATAGGTGCCAGTTCATGTCCTGGCTGCTCCTCTTCCTTTATATATCTCTGTTACAGCTTGGGAAAGCAGTGGAGGATGGCCCAAGTGCTCTGAACTTTGCACCCATGTGGGAGACCTGGAAGAAACTCCTGGATCCTGGCTTTGGGTCAGCCTAGCTCCAGGTATTGCAGCCATTTGGGGAGTGAAATAGCAGATGGAAGATCTTTCTCCCTGTCTCTCCATCTCTCTGTGTATAACTCTACTTCTCAAATAAATAAATAAAATGTTAAAAAAAATAAAGTAAAAATAAAATTTCTGATTTAGATTGCAGATGTGGTCATGGCAGGCTACCTTTTGAAGATGTGCATCATTCCATCAGAACGTATGCAGCTGCCTTTTCTCTGAAAACAGTCTCAGCAGGAAACAGCCCACAATATTTCATTCAGGTGAGGCACAGTTCTATAAGACAGGCTATACTTTTAGGATATGTTGTGTGTATCTCCTGGAATTGGTATTACAGTCCTTTAATACTATATTTTTTTCTACATAAAGATAAAAACACGAAAAATCTTAAGTGTTCTTCATTATAAAAGTAAAGCATGTGACTTGATAAACAGTGGGAAATTAGAAGGCATGAATAGCATATCCTTGGCAGTATGCATAATGATTTGGGGTAGAGATGTGGGAGTCAGACTAGATGCAAATCTCAGCTGTGTCAGTTACTGACTGGATGTACTTGGAGATGCTACTTTACTTATGTGGGCCTCAGCTTTTTTATTTGTAAAGGAGAGATGACCTTAACAGTAACTATGCCATAAGGATATTGGGAGATGCAGTGTGGAGTCAAGTAAACCAGGTGGCTCTAGTGAGCAATCGGCAAGCGTTGGCCATAATCATCCATGACTGCCACTCGTAGTGATTTGTTACTTTGCTTTTCCTCACGTATTTTTAACACTTGCTCCGTGTGTGTGTGTGTGCCTGTGTGTGTAACTGATACAGCCTGATTTTTCTCTTAAAATTAATTTTAATATTTTCTTTCATGACTAAAAAGTGTTACTCTTTATAAGAAATGCAGGCAATACCTTGGCTCAAAAGCCTTGCTGGGATCATAGAAATCATTTAAATGCTTTTCCAAGAGAACTTTTTAACAAAATGTTTATTTGACAGAGAGAGAGAGAGAGAGAGATCATCCATTTGCTGGTTCACTTCCCAAATGACCACAACAGCCAGGGCTGCGCCAGGATGAAGCCAGGAGCCCAGATCTCAATGCAGTCTCCCACCTGGGTGGTGAGGACACAAGTTCTTGGGTTATCATCCGCTGCCTTCGAGGATGTGCATTCACAAGGGCCATGGATCAGAAGTGGTGTAGCTGGGACTTGAACCAGGCACTCCAATACAGGACGCTCGCAAACAAAGCGGTGACTTAACCATGTCTCCAGCTGCCTGCCTCCACCGAGAATATTGATACAAGCTTCTGAGGGCAGCCCTCTTCATCTATGAGAAAACCAAATGCCGCTGAAAACTGGATGGTTGGCTCAACGGAAAATACACCCTCCCCGCACACCACACCTGCCCCTCCCCCATAACGTGTCTTCGAAGGGTTCTTCCAATGGGGTCTGTATGCTGGCTGCTTTGGTGACAAGTATGTAACATCAAGTCCATGCCTCTGAGGGAGACAGCCACATTTCCCTCCCATCCCCATCACTAGTTGCCATCCTACCCACTAATGCATGTCCAGAGCATTGCTTGAGCCAAAGGGAAGCTTCAATATTTTGTAAAACAGATACACCGGAAGTTCCACAGAAGTGAGGTAGAATTCAGGATATGTCAGTCCTGTAACCTGGGCTAGCGCCTTCTCAAGGAATTTCTGCATTGTGTTACTATCCCACATTACATCTCCATGAGACCTTTAATGAGCAACTACTGTGTGCCAGAAATCGTGCTGAGCTGGGGGCTTGAATACTGTTCCACTGCCTCTGAATCTAAACTATCCCAAGGTTTTCAGGGATTTGACCTCAGCTGGCCAAACTTACCGCCCGCATCGCACTCTACTGTTGAGCCCTCACTTGCCTTCATTTGCCGCTTCCACAGCTATTGAGTGTTCACCACACACTGCATGAGTTGTAGGCACTGCAGAAACAGAGGCGATCCAAAGAAACTGTCTGCTTTCATGGGTTTTTAAACCAGAATGGAGGTTAGTCTATAAATGAACGAAAATAGCATGGTTTCCGTATCTCTTATTGTGAAGAAAGAATAGCAAAGATAGGAGGAGGGAGAGTGATTTAAGTGAATTCTATTCTTTTTTTTGGATAAGGTAATGGGAGATTTTGATTTTGGATTGGGGAATGTCATTTCAACAGGGAGCTGACTAACTGCAGAAGGGAGCTGTGTGACAATTATAGGAAGAAATTCCTGGACAGAGGATAGAGCAAATACAAAGTTCTTGAAATGACAGCAAGCATGAAGAACCAGTGGAACAGCTAGTTGATCTGAGTGGATCAAGTAGAATACACAAGGGGAGAAAATAATGGGAAATGTAATTGAAGAAACAATGAGGAACTAGATTATGCACTGGAGGGCATGGGAAGGTACGTTCTGAGTTTTCTTTCAAATATAACAGGAAGAACTTGGGGCCTGGGGTGGGTCTTTGGTAGCTATGTTGAGAGTAGAAGGCAGAGAGGACAGTGTGGTGGCAGGAGGCACTTTCAGTTCCTGCAGATGTCTGCTTATTTTTTTTTTTTTTGAAAATTTCTTTATTTGAAAGAGTGACAGAGAGGCAGAGAGAGAGAGAGAGAGAGAGAGAGAGAGAGAGAGAGAGAGAACCTTTCATCTATCCACTGGTTCCCTCCCCAAATGGCCACAATGGCCAGGGCTGGGCCAGGCCAAAGCCAGGAGCCAGAAACTTCTTCCAGGTTTCCCACTTGGGTGCAGGGGTCCAAGGACTTGGACCATCTGCCTCTGCTTTCCCAGGTGCATTAGCAGGGAGCTGAATCAAAGTGGACAGCTGGGACTTGAACCAGTGCCCACATGGGATGCTGGCATTGCAGGCAGCAGCTCTACCTGTTCCGCCACAGTGCTGGCCCAAGCTGTCCACATGTTGATGGATCTCTCTCGGTGATGTGGGAGACCCACCTCTGCCTTGCTGCCAAGGGTGGCATGCCCTCTTGCTTTGTCCCCTTGGCACTGACCCCCTTCTTTGGCAATATCCCACTCTTCAGTCCTTTGTGACCCAGCTCGCGTCAGTGACTGATTTCATTCACTTTCAGCATGCTCTATACTGGGAAAATATTGTAGGTGAATTCTTTTTACATATTTCAAATACTTTAGCATTCTTGAATTTTGCCAATTAGTTATTTCATTTTCAGAATGATATTCTATTTTTTCATTTTAAATAGTCAAATAGTAGTTTTAATTATAAGGAATTGAAAAGAAATAGTAAAACTTGGCTGTGAGTCTCAACTATTTAACTTTAACCAAATATTTCCTTTACTTATCCACATTTATAATGCCCAACTTTTTCCGTCTTTCCCCTAAATTTGTCTTGCTAATGTAACATTTTCTTACCTGAAGATTTTGGGTTCCAGAGCCTTATTGAAACGTGATGCACAAAAGAAGCCAGAAGAATATATCTCTGGAATGTCTGTAAAAGTGCTCCTGACTCCTGTCCTCACATCCACATGTCTTCCTGATATGCCCTCATCTTCAGCAACGATGACTAGAAGAGATGTATGACAAGTACCCAGGGCACAGTGTGGCAGTGAAGTGTGTTTTTCCCCAGCTGGTAGGGTGGACCACTCAGTATGCTGAGTGTGATGTAGGGTGGAGTCAGTCCCATTTTGTCTAAATCCCTCCATCAATAGGAAATACTGGGGAACCTTGAAGAAACAGACTGAGACTTTCTTGACTGAAAGGAGCCAGGAGTTACTGATCTTTCTTAGATTTAGAGGGTAGGGTTCTGGGAAGACATAGGTTGACAAATCTGAAAATATCCCTCATGCCTAAGCTTTCTACTCTTCTCCATTTCCATTTCTCTCCATTGTCCATTTTGCCTACTTGGGAGAAGGGAGGGTATGTATCATCCTACATAATCCATTTATTCTTTGAAACTAGGGAGAAATTTCTAGAAATGAGAAAACAGAGCAAAGTGCATAGAAGGGCCTCAGGATGCCCACTAAAGCATTACTGTTTGTGGTGATTTCTGCAAAGTGCATTTCTATAAATGTAGCATCTATTTTTTTATGTTGTCAAGTTGGCACCTGAATTAATGAAGATTAAGGACCTAGCCCTATAGATAATGAATAGTGTCTAAATGACTGTGGCATATGTTCTCAATGAATGCTTGTAGAATTGGATTTGATTTCAGCAATAATCTACATTATTAAATAAATGACACAAGTCCTGAGAAAGGCAATTACCTATCTGACTCATAATTAGGAAATATGTGAGTAGGTAGGACAGCCCCTGTGGACTCCTTAATGATAGGAAATGAGCATTTTACTCATGTTTCCAAAAGAAGATGGTATGCTATAGCATTATAGCCTGGGCTCCAAGAGATCTGGCTAGAAACCTGTGAGCACTAGTTTTCCATTAATTGCAGGAGCCATAATTTCTCTACTTTCCCAATTCTCCTATCTATAAGCAGTGATGGCTGATACCTCTTTTAATAAGAATGTTCCTTCCTTGGGTCTTATCCTGGGCCCTTTTCTGACCTTGCCTCTCTGCAACGTGGCGAATTAGAGAGTCAAGGAGATTTTCCCATGCAGAAGCTACAGCCCCTCCTGTCAGGCAGGAAGACCAGCTCCAAGTATCTGGGACCCAGTACTTTACATTAATGGGGTTCTGACTCTTGCACAAAATGGCCAAGGAAGAGTTGCCTTGAGAGGTGTAAGGAGTGCAGATGGAGCTTGTGTGTTCTGCAAGCTTGGGCGTTCATAAATGGGCATTTCAGGCACCTTACATAGTGCTGCTGGAGCCTGAGAAGAGAAGGCAGGACACCGGGCTGGGACTGCTTCCTTAAAGGCAGCCACAATCCTGCACCAAACTCCAAGGAGTCAGGGAAACTGTGCCTTGTGCCTGGATTCCAGGTAATTGTGAGTATACATTTTCCAAGGTAGGAATATACGACACATCTCATTTAACTGGATGTTGGCTGGCTATTTAAAGATTTTTTTTTTTAAATTGAGACAATGATAGATTCATATAAATTATAAGAAATAACACAGATCTCTTGTACATTTTTGCCTAGCTTTCTCCAATATTAACATTTCATGAATCTACTATACAATATCACAACTTATATACAGACGTTTACACAATCCAAATATCTTATTTTGGCTTCCCCATTTTTATTTGTATTCGTTGATGTGTATGTGGGTATTAAATTCGATACACTTTAGCATCTGTGTAGGTTCATTTATTTGCTACCAGAATCCAGACACTAAACAGTTCTAATACCATCAGGATTCCTTATAGATTTATTACCTTTAAATAGATATACAGAATATCTCATAAATAAGGGGTATAGTATTATAGTTAAATGTTTAGTTTAGGCCGAATTAAGAGTAAAGTAATATGCATGTGTAAGCATAGACGCTCTTTCTGAAGGGCAAACCCTTCCTGAAACAGAATCCTCGGATTACCCCATAGCTTCTGCTGGGAGGCTCCCACTTGCCTTTAGAGACGGGGATTTGGGAGAGTTGGACTTTACTCTGCCACCTCTGATTGCCAACACAGGCTTTGTCTGGCCTGTAGTCCTCAGTAATCCACATCTGTCTGTTGTTTGCTCAATACTCCTTTTGTTCTTTATTGCTCAGTATCCCAGGAGAATAACTCCAAGGTTACCCTCATACTTTGGCAAGACCCCTAGGTTTTCCGGGGGCTCTGATTTCCATAGAGTTTGTAGGAGGTTAAGGATATCCTGCTAATGTTTTCAGGAATCTATTCCCTTCTCGGTCTTATATTTTATTCTGGGTGTAGATTTTTGGGGACAATTAGGCCAGCTTATGTTTCTACTCAGACACATAGCAAGGCACACAAATTTCACTATTAAAATTTGGCACTTATTATCATAGAATGTAAAGAAAGTAGAAAACACCATAGGAGGAAATAAAAGGAGAGACACTCATTGGGCATAAGCAAATGAGAAGTATAATTAGGTGACAGTCAGAAGTCAGATTTGGAACCTCCCATTTTCTGAACTCCCTAAAACGTGTCCCAGCTGTTCTGTGATCCACCCTGGAACCCCCTCAGCAGCTCACTGGGGTAGCTTCTCTTTGGCTTCCCTCTACCAGAAACAGCCTGCTAGCTAGCTGCCAGGCTGGCTTATTTAGTAAGCTCTCTTCTTTCCAGTCTTTTGGCTTCTACATCTGCATTTTCACCACTTGGTTGGCTCTTAGCAGGAGCCAAGATATAATCCGGGAAGGAAGCCAGATCCCAAGGCAGCCGAAAGGCAAACGTTGACTACGAAAATAAGCCTAGTATGGTTACAGGGACTCTGGGATGTTTAGTAATGTTATGGATGCAAACTATTTATTTTAGAATCCACATTTTTGAAAAATGTATATTTTGGTGTATGTGTTGGACAAAAAAACCAGACCCCAAAATTAATGCATCAACTGCAAATGTGTCATAAAATAGTCGCTAAGGACATCACTTTGGGTAGCAGAATTATGTAGAAAGAAGCAGGAAATGGCTGGCGCTGCAGCTCAATAGGCTAATCCTCTGCCTAGCGGCACCGGCACACCGGGTTCTAGTCCCAGTCGGGGCGTCGGATTCTGTTCTGGTTGCCCCTCTTCCAAGCCAGCTCTCTGCTATGGCCTGGGAGTGCGGTAGAAGATGGCCCAAGTGCTTGGGCCCTGCACCCCATGGGAGACTGGGAGAAGCACCTGGCTTCTGGCTTCAAATCAGTGCGGTGTGCCTGATTTGCCATTGGAGGGTGAACCAATGGCAAAGGAAGACCTTTCTCTCTGTCTCTCTCTCACTGTCCACTCTGCCTGTAATATATATATATATATATATAAATATATATATATATATAAAAGCAGGAAAAAACACAGGGTAATTCTATTTTGAACTTGAATGCTGTCAAAACATATTTTGGGGGATTTTCAGTATTATTTCAGTATTATAAGCTTTCTCAGTAGCTTACATTTTTAAAAATATAAAAATACCATTGTTAATATTTCACAGTGAATTATATGAATTACGCCGTCCAAGAATTTAAAAGCAACATATGGTAATTAGAGAAAATAAGAAAAAATTAAAAACAGAAAATTAATATCATCCATAATTCTACTGTTCATAGCATCACCACTAACATTTTGGTATGTATCCTAAAATGTGTATTCTAACAATATTAAAACATATCCAATATGTACTTTAACAAAACTGAAATCATGGTTTAGCTTATAGTCTACCTTTTCCATCTAATGATGTATCTTGAACATTTTTCTGTATTCTTATAATGAGTTTAAGCAACTACATAGTGTTCTGCCACATAGGTAAGCCTTAACAGTTATCTTATTTTGGATATTTCAGTTGTTTGTAATATATCTTTATTTTGTTCATTGTAGAAAATAAAAAGTAGTGGGAATTCAAAATTCAAGAATTCTGTGTCAGATGGCCTTGCTAAAAATAACTCTTCACTCTGTCTGTTGCTTCTAGCCCCTGCTGTTTCTGTAAACTTTCTGCATTAACCATCTTCCCTTTTTCTGTACAGAACATGGATCTTTTTGTGAGCTAATATAACGTAGGGGCTCAGAGTACAGCTGCAGAAAGGCCATACAGAGCTGGATTTACATCTTAACACTGCTATTTGATAGGTCTCAAATACTCAGTTATCTTAGTGAGCAGAAGAGAGGTTACCAGAGGCTGAGAAGACTGGGGGTAGGGAGTGGGTGAGGGAATTCTTGATGGGAACAATGCGGTCACAGTTAAATAGAAGAAATACATTCTGGTGGAATTCTACACAGAGGGTGATTATAGTTAACAGTGTTATGTCATATTATCCAAAATAGCTAGAAGGGAGGATTTAGAATGTTCTTACCACAAAGAATTGATGAATGTTTGAGATTAGGGATAATCAAGGTCTTTGAGTTCATCAATACACAATGTAGCAATGTATGAAAACATCATACCGTACCCCATAAAGATTTGAAATCCTCTGTCAATAAAATATTTAAAAGGAACCATTCATCTCATATTTTAAACAGAGTTATTAGAAACATTATACAAGATATGAATCTAAGTTTATGTGCAACTTAGCAGCTCATAATGTTATCACTCATTGATTTTTGATGAGACCCATTTATTGAGCATTTTAAGATGGCAGGTATTATGTTAGTTACTCAGGATACAAAGGGCACAATTCTGCCATTGTAGCTTTTACAGTCTAGTATTATAGAAAGTTATCAAGTAACCATGTTTTTAAAAATTCAAAATCGCATCTATGCCAAGTGCTAGGAAGGAGAGTGATATGGTGTAATAACTATGAGGAGAGATGGGATGTATTCACATAAGGATTCTTAGGTTCCTACAGGGATATCCATGCTTGCCCTAGTGTTCTGGACAACAAGAGAGGGTGAAGGAAGGTTGGTGTCCACCAGAAAATGTGTTACTTGCTCTAGGTTTTGTGTCTTTTCACGCAAATGAAATTGTATGAGTGTGACTTTGCATTAAAATGCTGCAGACTGGGACCAGCAAGAAATGTCTGTCTCTTTCCTGCCCTCTGTGCATGGCCTCTGATCACCTTCCTTGTGTAGTGCTCCCCTGGCCTTTTCTACATATCTACAGGATGGCCCATTGCAGTATGCTTTCTCATCCCCTCCCCCACCCCCTGCCAGGTCTATCGCTTCCCACTTTTATCATTGTGCCACCCTGGCAAATGCTTTATTGAAGAGCTTAGCAGGGTGCCTGACACACAGTCATTCTCACAACATGCAAGGCTGGTTTACTTAAGACATATTTCAGGGCAGGGCAGACAACAAATGCCCAGTAAATATAGGAAGGAAGGAGAAAGAATTTCTGGTCCCTGACTGTACCAGAGTTCTAAGACAATTCAGTGTGAAAAGGAATGGAAAAGAATATTATCAAGGGCAACTTCTGGAAGCAGTTCAGTGAATGTGTTTGTGGAGAAGATAAAGTGTTTTTAAATATTTGAAAATGGGGGAGGGTATTCAAGACCAGGCTACATCAGGTACATGAACGACATCACCTGTGATAGAAAGTGTCAAGATACAAATGTGGCAGGAGCAGGCACAGGCTGGGGAAAGGCTCATTTGTAGGTAAACAGGAGGGGGCACTGGGGAATGGAATGTGTTGGTAATATTAGACTTTTAATATTTGGAATGAGTATGAAAGACATGCAGGTTGGAGGAGGACCACAGGACTTTACAAACATTTAAAGACTGTTGATACAGGACAGTGCACAAAGTAAAACAAATCCTCCCAGCTGTGATCACCATGTATTAAGATACTGAACTATTAGGGCTGGCACTGTGGCGGTAGCTGTTGGAGCCGCTGCCTGCAGTGCTGGCATCCCATGTGGGCACCGGTTTGAGCCCTGGTTGCTCCACTTCTGATCCAGCTCTCTGCTGTGGCCTGGGAAAGCAGTGGAGGATGGCCCAAGTCCTTGCACCCCTGCACCCACATAGGAGACCTGAAAGAGGCTCCTGGCTCTGGATTGGCACAGCTCCGGCCATTGCGGCCAATTGGGGAGTGAACCAGTGGATGTAAAACCTCTTTCTCTGTGTAACTATGATTTTCAAAGAAATAAATAAATCCTAAAAAAAAAAAAAAGATATTGAACTATACAAGAGCCTCTAAAGAACAAAAATCTTTGTGGCTTGATGCCCTTGCTCCTGACCTTGAAATCACTGAGTTAATGTCATCGTCACTGTCTGAAGGTAGACAGGCCTTGACACCAGAGACACAGGGCATGCTATTTATTTTTAGAAAAATTCTCTTTCATAGTCTTATTTTTTATTGTAAAATATATATTTATAATAAGATTCTGTAACCTTACTCATGAATCAGTGTCCTCAGTAACCACAAAGATTTTCATACACTGACAGATTAAGAAAGTTCTCCTGCATAAACTCATCAGAACACTCATACTCGTTTATGGAAAGAGGTGTTTCCCAAATTTACAATTGGGAACAAAAGCCAGCTAGTTCTGTAAACTAAATTTTTTGTAATGGTATCTTCTTATAATAGCTTTACAAATTTGGAAAGTTCAGTACGACACACCTGTGTAAATACAGCCCTTGCTTTAGGTACAATTAAAATGAATCAAGAAGGCAGGAAATAAAAGACTAAAGAAAACCTAACCTCCCAGTCAGAGTGTGTGGAAACCAAATCACAGTTTTACAGTGTGGAGTCATCACTCTCCATGGGAGCACCATTGAAGTGAAGTCTCAAGTTCTTTCTCTGCCTATTAAACACCCCAGTCTGCTGCTAGAACATGCCACCAGCGTCTTCCGGCTCCACTTACAGCTCTGCAGGTGTGTCTATTTTGTTGATTGGCAGTCCACCAAATCAGGGACTGATCTGCCTTGTTGAAAAGCCTGGGGTTCGCCTTGTGTTTTCATTAGTGCGCTAAGTGATATAAAGCTCTTAATCTTAAAGTGCATTCCTGTGCTTGCCCTGCCACTTCAAATTAGTTTGACCCTCGTTCTCTCTTGACTCTGCACAGGGGACTTTTGTTGGCCACCGTGAAACCCGGAGCAGTTTCAGCTGCTGTGTAATCCACATGTGAAAAATGGGTACTTCCCCTGAGGTGGCCTGACAATAAAAGTTTGTGATTTTGGTTGAGGGAAAAAAAATACTTTCTGAACAGAGATCTGTTATTTTACTTACTGCCAACGAGGACAAGAAGATTGTCAGGGGACTGATGTCGATTTGTACTGCTTGCCAGGCATAGCAACTAAGATTGTCACTGCAGCTAATTAATTGTCAGGACAAAATTTGCATCTTATTTCTTCAGGGTTATGTTGCCTTGGTGATGTTATGACATCAGGTTTTGCGTAGGGAGCTATTGTTTCTGTGGATTTGGGTAGGAGCTGGACAGGAGAATTTATGGACCATTTGGGGAAGATCTATGTCGTCTGCTATGAGCTGGGAAGGAGAAATTGATGGCACAGTGGAGGAAGATATGTTAACAGGAGCATGAGGGCGGAGAGTGCTCAGCTAAGATGTGGGCTTCGGGACTGTGTTCATACCTGTTTCTGTTTTGATGTCCATTTTAGTATTCAGAACATGAGTAAGAACATCAAATTAGATACTTGCATTTGAATAACTTGAAGCTTTTCAGTAAAGTGATTTTCTTTGACACTGTGAAAAATGTAGGCTCTCTTATCCCCATTGACCATGAGACTGAGAAGCATAGTGGAAATAATATTGGCCTTAGAATGGGAAATAGAAATTAGCATCCAATTTTGCTTTTTACACTGTGAATTTGAATTTAATAAGACCAGGGGGAGTTTAAAATCTGTGCAGAAAGGAGTTTGCTATGCCAAGAGGAAGAATGCGGTTTAAAGGAGATTTGATCATGTAGAAAAGGGAGAACTGTGAATGGTGGGGAAGTGAAAATCAGAGCTCTTAGAAATGCGTTGGCCCTTGGCCAGCGCTGCAGCTCACCCTCTGCCTGCGGTGCCGGCACCCCGGGTTCTAGTCCCGGTTGGGGCGCCGGTTCTGTCCAGGTTGCTCCTCTTCTGGTCCAGCTCTCCCGGGCAGTGGAGGATGTCCCAAGTCCTTGGGCCCTGCCTCCTCATGGGAGACCAGGAAGAAGCTCCTGGCTTCGGATTGGCGCGGTGCCGGCCATAGCGGCCACAGCGGCCACTTAGAGGGATGAACCAACAGAAGGGAGACCTTTTTCTCTGTCTCTCTCTCTTCCTCTTTCACTGTCTAACTCTGCCTATAAAAAAAAAAAAAAAAAAAAGCCATGGCCCTGAAAAGCAGAAAACACCACCTCTGAAATCAGAGGAGAGAAGGCAATCCTGTAGCAGAGTGCATTGACGTTTTGGTTGAGAGCTGCAAAGCTAGGGGAGATCACAAGGATGATTTACACTTTCTCAGTAAACCAGAAGGAAAAGCCACGTGTGAGCTGAAGACATTCTACTGCCATCAAAGAGAAACAGAGCCAGACATAAGCTACAAGCCAGAGGGCTGCTTCTCCCCCGGCTACTGCAGTGGGGGAGAGGGGCTGCGGTCTAAACGGAGCTCAACTCCTCTGAAACAAAAGCGGGGGGCTTTTAAAATAGTAGGGCATGCAGAAAGGAGATGGACCGAAGGGCACAGGAGTAGAGAAGGTTGCTCAGTGTGATGAGGCCATCTGAGTCTGCTCAGTGGTGCTTGCTAAAGTCGTAGAGCCCAGCACTCCCACAAGGGTTGGCAGATAGGAGCGTCTGTCTTCTTTCTTTATGGATGCTTGCAGTTCAAAGACAGACACCCCTGCATGTAGGAGATGCATCTCAAAGGGACACAGAAAGGACTTGAAATGGCAAGCTTTGGAAAGCAGATGGGAGAGTCTCAAAGACAAGGGAAGCCAGAGGCCTGGAGCAAACCACACATTCTTTTGGCAGCACTGAAATTTCTCAGCGGGCATGATAAGAGGACAAGGGTCATCAGCACAGTGGCATACTCTTGTGTTTGCTTAAAGACAGAGTGTTTATTACCATGTTGGTGTTCAACTTCCTCCAGCCCAGACTGAAATGAGTGATACAGGTTTGAATGCATGTGATGAGGCATTGAGCCTAATTGTATGGGCTGACGTTTAAACAGTCTCAGAGAAGGCTCTCTAAACTGATCATGTAAGAAATGTCTAGGGCCAGTGCTGTGGTATAGCATGCTAAGCTGCTACCTGTGATGACAGCATCCCATGTGGGCACTGATTCAAGAGTCCTGGCACCTCCATTTCCCATCCAGCTCCCTGCTGATGCACCTGAGAACAGCAGAAGATGGTCCAAGTGCTTGGGCCCCTGCCACCCATGTGGGAGACCTAGAAGAAATTCCTGGCTCCTGGCTTTGGCCTGGCCCAGCCCCAGTCTTTGTGGCCATTTGGGGAGTGAACCAGCAGATGGAAGTTAGCTTTCTCTCTCTCTCTATCCTTCTCTCTCTAACTCTTTCAAATAATTAAATCTTTAGAAATAAATGAATTAAAAATGACAACCAAGTGTTGAGAACAACGTGGAAAGCTGAAACAGACACGCAGATAAGAAAGCTCATGACTACACATAAAAGAAGGGACCATGGAGCAGAGCTAGAAGGCAGGCATAACACTCTCACGTTGCCCCAGCCTCTGTCAACAGTGTCTTACGGAATGGAGAAATTTCGTCTGCACTCAATGTTTTGATCATTCACCTTGTTTACTGAATACCTAGCATATGTCAAGCATTGTTCCAAGGATGCAAAGCTCAATATCTATTCATTAATGTTGTTTTGCATATGTGTATGCTAAATTTAACTGCTAGTATAATCTATATGATTCAGTCCATGTGGTAGTATGGTTTTGATTTATTTAAAAGGCAGAAATACAGAGAAAGAAGGAGAGAGAGAGAGAGAGAGGTCTTCCACCTGCTGTTTCACTCCCCAAATGGCCACAATGGCCGGGGCTAGGCCAGGCGGATGCATGGAGCCAGAAGCCTCTTCTGGGTCTCCCACATCAGTGTAGGGGCCCAGGGACTTGGGCTGTATTCCGTGGCTTTCCCAGGCACCTGAGCAGGGAGCTGGATTGGAAGCAGAGCATCTGGGACTCCAAGTGGCACCCATATGAGATACCAGCACTGCAGGCAAAAGCTTAAGCTGTAGTACAGATGCCCATAGTACAGTTCTATTGAGTCTTTTAAATTTCCATAATGTTCTGAATTCAGAACACTTTTAAGTATTTTTAATGAAATATATTTGAACCAGGGCAGACCCTACTCAGTTTCCAGGCAGCACCTTCTGTCTTTTATTAGGCACGATTTCATCAGACATTTCATTCTTATGGCATTATGCAGCGTGAGGTTTGGAACACATAAGCGGCATCCATGAGATTAGTGATGAACTTCATTTGATAAATAAAAGTCGGTTTTCATGGTATTCATTTTTGTAGCTCTGTTTGATTGTATTTTATTTAATCTTTATGATTAAAGAGCCCATAAGATTAGTGATGCCACAAAATTAATTTGAATTTCAGCAATCTGTGAATTTCACCAATTAGTTAATTTCCACATTTATAAAAAGGAAGTTCACAAGTTAAATGAAATGGTGCTTTAGGTTACTTATACAGTTAAAGCTGCACATTTTCATGTATTACTATAATGATATCTATATTTCTTAAGATATTCTTAAGTAGATTTCGTGTGGCTAATTTTTTAAAATTGTAGAGATTGTAGTGTATATAAAAGATACTTTCTATTTCTTATATTTTAATCCAATTTGCTTTCATAAATAATATTTCCAGCAAGGTAAAGCATTTGATAATTTTTTTTTTTTTTTTTTTTTTTGGACAGTGAGAGAGAGAGACAGAGAGAGAAAGGTCTTCCTTTGGCGTTGGTTCACCCTCCAATGGCCGCCGCTGCAGCCGGCGCACCGCGCTGATCCTGGCAGGAGCCAGGAGCCAGGTGCTTTTCCTGGTCTCCCATGGGGTGCAGGGCCCAAGCACCTGGGCCATCCTCCACTGCACTCCCTGGCCATAGCAGAGAGCTGGCCTGGAAGAGGGGCAACCGGGACAGAATCCGGCGCCCCAACCGGGACTAGAACCCGGTGTGCCGGCGCCGCAAGGTGGAGGATTAGCCTATTGAGCCACGGCGCCGGCTATCATTTGATAATTTTAAGATCCTTTAGGAAGAGCCTTTACTAATATATTGGTGATATGTAATACCCAGGTTGTGAGGGAGAATCAGAGACATATCATGATATCTGATTGGAAGAGCAAATGCCTATGACTACAAGTACATCATATGGCTTCTGAGGAGCCCAGTCTCACAGGGTAGGGCCTAACAATAGAGCTCAGGGTTGAGAGTAGTAGTACTGGTGAGAGCAATGCAAGAGCCATTGTCCTAGCCTGTGATAATTGAGTGCTGGATTGGAACAGGATGCTTTTGCATCATGATCAGCCAGCATCCATAGTAAAAAAAAAAAAAATCCGGAGAAGCTTCATGCTAAAATTTTATATGTTCTTGACTTTTCCATGATGATCAAGTTCAAAATTGATCCTAGAATTTGGAGTTGAGCTGAAATTATAGGTTTTTAACATTCACCATCTATCAATCTGCATATTAAGAATTATAGAAGATGTTAAATAACCCTGGCCAAGTGGAAGATAAAGATTATGGAGTATGAACCAGGCAAGGCATTTCATTAACTAATTTTCTGTATCCTTCTACTGTTGATAATAAGATATAGGGAAATCAATTTCAAGACATGAACCACCAAATATATCAAGTCATAAGGTCATAGAAGAAAGTAGGCATGCATTTGTATTGCTTCCTCAGTACCTCTCCCACATTCATAGACCATGTTTTCAGCAAACTTGAACCTCAGTGACACAGGCATACTTGTAACCAAATGTGAGACAAAGAACTCCATCAAAATGACATGCATAGTTAAGAATAGTCAAGTGAGATTTCATTACAGCTGTCATATTACTGGTCATAAGATTGTTTATAATATTTCCTTACCATCCTTTTCATGTCTATGCCATCTTTAGTGATGTCCCCTCTTTCATTCCTGACTCTGATAGTTTATTCAATCTGGATTTTTTTCCCACATGTCACTGAGGTTTTGGATATTTTATATTCAAATCCACCATCCTTTTTTTTCTTCTGTTCACTTTTGTGGGGTGATGTCCTGTTAATGCCTTCAAGTTCATTGATCTGTATTTCTGCAGTGTCTAATTTGCTGTTAATTTCATCCTGTGGTGTTTTTATTGCAGGACTTTTATTTTTGTCTCCTACTAAAGTTCTATCTTGTTAATTTGAACATCTTTCATTCCCCTCATTATTTCCATGTTTTTCTTATTTATTTGAGCATAGACAGCATATTGAACTAAACTTTAATATCTCATCTGCTAATTTCATCTTCTCTATCATGTCTTAGTGTGTTTGAACTGGATGCTTTTCCTTTTGATTATTAGCTGTATTTTTTCTGCTTCACTTATATTTTGATGAATGCAAGAATTGTAAAATTCTCTATTTTTAAATGCCTAGATTTTGTTGTTTTCTTGTGAATACTGGAATCTTGTTCTGGCAGACAGAACAGAAGCTTAACCTGTTACCTATCTGATCATTTTGAGGCTTGTTTTTAAAGCTTCCTTAGTGTGACCACATAGTAATCAACTTTATCATCGATTCAACTATCTGGTCTTCATTCCAGTTTCTAATGAATACAGTTGTTGCTCACTGGGACCTTTTCTCTAGCTGTCAAGAACTTTAATGATTTGAGGACATTTCTAAAATTTTTCATTTATAGCTTTTTGCAGTTACTCTTTCCCTAGAAGATTTTCCTGTTGTGATGTAATGGGATTTCCCCTTACATGTGCACAGGTTTCTGTTCAATCATAGACTGCATCCATTATGTTCCAGCATTCAAATGCTCCAAATATTTCAATGAAATTGACACTTGTGCAGTATAATAGGCTGGAAGTCACAATCTAGAGCTTATATATCCTTTATTAAGCACAAAAATACAGATTGTCCAATAATTAGTATCTTATATATATATATATATATACACACCATTCTATAAATAGGACATTGGGCAAATATGAAATCCTTTCACACCTTACACAATATACACAGGAATGACTTTTTTAGTGGAAATGACCAAAACACTTCATTACGTTTTTGACGGTATGTTGTCAGTTGCACTAAACATGCCTTGTTTTGACGTTGTCGTTGTCGTTGGCCGTGTGAGAATACTACAACTTCTTAGATAAAATCTGACATCACTGTGGACAGTAGTAAGGCTGGGGACATTTTGTTTTATTCCTTCTGATGGTTCTCATTGCATGACTTTAGCACTAAGCAGATGTCTCTTTTTTAAAATCCAACAAATTTGTGAAATCTTTCCTGTCTTTGTTAAAATATTTGTGAATTATGAATTTATTATACACACATCAATTATTCAAGTGCAAAAAAAAGCCAAAACCTTTTTTTTTTTTTTTTTTTTTTTTTTTTACCTGTAGTAGAATATTTGGAAACCAGCAAATTGTGTTTAACACCACCACCACTGGAATCGTTAAAGGTACCCAGTGCCTTTGGTTGAAGTACATTGGCTCTACTCTTTATTTCTTTTGTTCATTGTTGAACTTTGCCAAGTGGTTCCTCTGTGCCACAGTTTGTTCGAACAATGCACATTTATTACTGAACCATTTTACAAAAAAAAATTCACTCTTTGTATCACATTTATAATCAGACAACTCTCTTTTCTTTTTTTTTTTTTTATCAGTGTTTGTTTCAGAGGACACTGGTATTGTTTTCCCTCTAGGTATCCAGGAGATATATTGAAATCCACTATTCTGAAGGTACACCAGCAAGTCATAACTAGGGAATAGACTGTTGGAAAAAAACGGAGTGTGACTGTGGATTCCCTACTGCCTTAAATATTTGCAGAATTACCTTACTCTCAAGCACAAAGCTCATAGCTCGTAACAAATAACCGCAAATGGCAACACATTCGAGTTTGTCAGGCAGTAGTGGGTACTCTACATATTACTATGCGCTGTACGTTGTCCCCATGTCCTTTTTATGGGACAGATATTTTGCAAAGTCAATGATTTGAAATGTAGTACATTCCTTGAAGTAAAATGGCAGTCTACATCCAGAAAACACTTTCATGAATGTATTTATTATCAGTTGTATAAATAATCTTTTGATCAGTTAAACATTTAGTAAGTAACTTATACTTAAGTTTATGCTGTTTTCACAATTAATTTAAAAATATTTTCCGATGCTCTAATTATTCACCTATTACTTTTCTCAGAAGAAAAGAACTCTAAAAATAGAATATGTATTTTAAAGTTACAATAAATAGTATATTTATCTCTCAATTTGTTTTTATAAGTATCCCATATGTATAGGACAATGGTATGCAACAGGTTAAAAGCTACCACAAGATAAATTTCTGGAGCTTTCTCTATAGTCTGTCTCTCAGGGCTCTTCTCTGGAAATATCAACCACTTCTGCCTCTTTGAAATCTGAGCTTTCTGGCTCTTTTGAAGCCCCATTGCCTATGCTGCTGCCTGGCGGTTGTCTGGAGGCAAACTACATGGAGAATGATATGGCTTACCTCCCTTGTTTCTTTCTCTGTGGTGTCACAACACCATCCTACTATGGTCCAGTATCTGAAAATAGTTCTTATTTTCCATAGCTTTTCTAGCTTTCTAGTAGTTCATGGCAGTAGGTGAAATCTAGATTCTGGTATACTTTTGTGATTGAAAGTGGAAATTATTCTTCTGGGTTTTTATTTTTTGGTAGCTAGTGGAAAAATAAAGAAAAAGTATGATGTATCTGAGAAAATTGCTGTAGAACTTAGTAGAATGTTCAGGGACAACCTTTAAGACTGACTTGCCCAAGCATGGCTGGATGTATAAGCGAGAGAGAAAAGTGCTTGACTCAGATGAATATGTATGAAAAGCGTATCCAGGGCTCAGGAGTCTTGACACCATTCCCTTCAGCATCCAGAGGCCTGTGCATCCTTGAGAGGGGCTAAGTGCCTGGAGTCATCTCCAGAGACTTCTTCTCTACCATCACCATTCACCGTGAGATAGTTGAGCCACAGTAGCTTAGAGATTTGCCACTCTAGGTACTTTTGATTTTTGTGCGAGAGCCTTGAAGCTGAGAAGCACCTCTGAATCCCAAAGGAATGATTTTTTGATGCTGTTTATCCAGGCAGGCACTGCCATTATGAGGAATTTGAGCTAGTCTGCATTAAAAATGTGAGTTATTTATAGTTTATTCCCTTGAGGGACAAACAAGGCAGGGATATAGCATAACTGAAGAGAAGAGGAAGCTAGAATGAGGTATAAAATAGCTTGGTGAGAGGCTAGAGTGCCATTTATATGTTTCCAAAAATGGGGAATTAGAAGGAGAAGGGGAGGTGGAGGAATGGGGGAGTACTTGAGAAAAATGAAGGCCTAATATTCAGTTTTAAGTTGTTTGTGTTTCTGTGATAAAAATACTTCTAATGTACCAAATCTTTAGCAGAATTTGTTAGAACAAAAATAAATGAGTGAATTTTGTAGAAATTAAGGAGGAAAGTTGGTTTCCACATTTGGGCAGGTATGAGGCAGACCAGAAATAGCACACTTGGGGGTAGGAAGGCTATCCTAAACTAAACTAATACTGGGGATAGAAGCTCTGACTCAAATTGTAATGTAGACTCCTGGGAATTATTTTTAAATACTTCAAAATCTATGGAGTGGATATTTAGCAAAGTTTATTATAAAGCTACTGAGCTAAATGGCCTTAAATGACCTCTTTTTTGACCTCAGGTTCTGTGCTGCCCATCCCAGTGATACTGTAATAGTCACTGAATGTCTATTAATAACCTATTGCTGCTGGCAGTGGCTGGCTGCTGGGGGAAATTGTGCAGGGAAAAGATTTCCTTTCTGCCTCAGACTTTGGCATCAGATTAGGAGCATAATTATTCAAAAAAAGAAATGATTTAATATAAATGTTATTTGATAAACTAAGTTCTTTTTGGTGACACTTGGCACTTATCAGACTGAAAGTATTATGGTGAGCTAGTTTAAGAATTCTTAAAATATTTTTTTAAAAAATAATGAATATAAGGTTATTTTTAAAACAACTTAGTCACCCAGAATTTATTTTATTTCCAAAGGTAGTTCATACTTTAAGATTTATGCTTAACATGCTGCTTTCTTAATTTGGATCAGAGGCATCTAAAAAAATTACATGTTATTTTGGGGCTTCTAATTTAGCTCTTGCAGAAATGTTATGTTTTATGCCATACAAATATTCTAAGTCATATTTTTTTGATATGTATATGTATATATATACACACATCTGTAATATTGGTAGCTCAATAAAAATGAGAGACTATCTGGCAGCATCAATTGGAACTCTATTTTTTAGCATACTTACACTTAATAAAAATTGAAGATAACTATTAGATTTTGATAAACAGTTCAAATTATTCCCTTAGGGATATGAAATTACACATGGTTTTATTTTACTATTGTGACATGAGTGATAGGAATTTCAATGATAAGTCCCAACTTAGAGTTTTATATCATCTATTTTCTCATTTTTCCTCCCTAAAGAGATTTAGAAACAGGATTATTGTCGCTCCCCCATTTGCGGAGGGACGACACTGGACCCTGTGCTGTTCTCTTTGCCCGGCCCTTCCCGGGTTAGCTGCCATTCCCTCACTCGCGGAGGAACAACGCCGTCCTGGGTTAGCTGCCAGGCCCCCCCCCCTCCCCCGCCTCCGCGGAGGGGCGGCACCCCCGCCGCTTTCCCCACTTCCGTGGAGGAGCAGCACACCACTGGCCGGCTCTCTCGGGGGTTGCTCAGATGTTCCTCAGATGTTCCCCGGTGCATGTTGTTTCTCTCCTCCTTTATAGTCCTCTTCCACCAATCGCAACTCTGCTGCCCACATGCCGAGCATGCTGCTCTCCTCCAATCAGGCTGCAGCTTATCAGTGAAACTGGTGAGGCAGCTGTGTAGAAGTTGTTTGCTGTCTCTCAGTGCCATATTGTGGGAGATCAGATGCATAGAATTAGTCCTAGTTCCAGTAATTTAGTCTAGTCTCAGTTGCTCCCCACAGATTATTAAAAATACACTTGTCTGGGGCCAAATGGTTAGTCACTGCCTCTTAAAATGTTGCCATAGTAGGGGCCAGTGCTGTGGCATAGCAGGTAAAGCTGCTGCCTACAGCGCCGGCACCTCAGATGGGTACCTGTTCAAGTCCCTGCTGCTCCACTTGCAGTCCAGCTCTCTGCTATAGCCTGGGAAAGCAGTAGAAGACAGCCCAAATGCCTGGGCCCCTGCACCTACATGAGAGACCTGCAGGAAGCTCCTGGCTCCTTGCTTCAGATGGGCCTAGCTCCAGCTGTTGTAGCTATTTGGGGAGTGAACCAGCAGATGGAAGACCTTTCTCTCTCTGCCTTTGCCTCTCTGTAACTCTGCCTTTAAAATACATAAGTAAATCTTTTTTAAAAAAAGTTGGCAATGTAGATAGGAAGACAGTTAATATTCATGATTCATTTTAATCCTCAAAAAAATCAATACATTGGTTCAAATAAATACCTAGCACTACTCACTCACCTGGCTTTATTAAAATAATCATTTTATGCATTAGATGTTTTATTTGAGATTGAATTATTGAGAGTTATTGTGTACATTAAAAATATTCATTGGTAATGATTATATTTTGAAATCTTCTAAATTTAAATATTGAAATTATTAATTTTGACTTTTCTCTTTTCCTGTATTTTTTTTTAATCTCGTAAGTTAACATGTACTACTCACAGAACAATGAAGCTATAGACTTGGCATTCATCAAAGCAGTTAGTAAACAGCAGTAAAACAGAACAAAATGAAAAGAACCCAATGCAGTATCCATAACTCTTTTCATGTTAGCTTTTACAATTAGAGTATTTAAGTATTTGTGACATTGTTTGGTAAAATGAGTATTTTTCTCAGTTATTGATATTACATTTGCTAGCTGAATTGATTAGTTTCCATTTTGTTCTTTTTAGCCAAACTTCACATTATCATCCTAACTGCCTGACAAAAACAAACTGTAAATACAAGTGGATGCTCAGGGCCAATCCATTGTTTCCAGATTTAAAATTTCACAGACTCAGAAATTAAAAGGAAAACAAATGAAGGGGTTGGTTGATCTACCTTTGTCAGTATTTCCTATTGCCAGGGAGAATATTAAACAAAACAATATTATGTACAAGTCTTATTATTTTATAAAAGAGAGATTGGTCAACATCAAAAATTAAGCAAATGAAGAAAGGAGGTTATAATTTCATCCTGAAAGAGTCTGTAATAACATTTAATAAATGAAATCACTCTTAACCATTGTTTTTTCAGTTTTCATGATAGGAACTTCCAACCTCATATTCAGAGAACTTCATCCAAAACGGTATCAAGAGAACACAGTTCTCGGCTGTTTCTAAGACCCTGCCTTTATCTCCTTGACCAGATTCTTGGCTTCTCTGTTCATTTTGGAAACCTGTTTATGTTGCTTTTCCATTACTTAATCCTTCTGATTTCACTCTTGGATTGTTGACCTAAGTTTCCTGTAAAGATGTTGGGCTATGTACAGTCCCTTGGCTTTGTCATTCTGTGCTGCTTTAAGAAATCCTTGTGCTGCCCTCTTACCTCTCAGAAGCCCAACCTTAGTTATGATAACTTCATTTTTCATAAAGAATTTGGGCATATTGTTTTCTACCTGAATCAAATTTCAATATGGTAGAACCATGCATCTTTTCTTCCTGGGTACTATTTTACTTGAAAGGCAGAGTGTCAGAGAGGGAGATAGAGAGAGGGGCAGTGAGTAGCCATTCGGCCACCGACAAGCATATTTTTAATAGTCCTGTTTCTAAATCTCTTTAGGGGAGAAAAAAGTGAGAAAATTATGTAAAACTGTAACTTGGGGCTTATCATTGAAACTCTTATCAGTCTTGTCACAATAGTAAAATAAAATCTTTTTAAAGATTTATTTATTGGGGCCAGTGTTAAGGCACAGCAGGCTAAGCTTCCACCTGTCATGCTAGCATCCCATATGAGTGCCTTTTTGAGTCTTGAATCCTGGCTGCTCTACTTCCAATCCAGTTTCCTGCTGATGTGCCTAAAAAAGGCAGTGGAAAATGGCACATGAACAGAGTCCATGGTTTTGTCCCATGAGAACATGATGATCAAACTTCCACCACATGAAGACAGGGCATTCACTATTCCATCAAGTACAGATACAGTGTTGGCATTTCTCTCATGTCAGGGACATGGCATTCACTTCTGTCACATGAGGACTTGAAGCCCACCCTTACATCACATGTCACATAGTTCATCCTTCTGTCACTTGAAGACAGGAAGTTCACCATTCCATTGGTTGAGAACATGGTGTTCACCGTAGATTCACACGAGGATACTGCAGTCACCGTTCATCACATGAGGGCAAGATACTCACCTTCCAGAGGCCAAGGACAAGGCAGTCATCCCTTCAGATGAGAAGGCACTTTTGTTATGTGAGGACATGGTGTTCACAGTTCCTTCACTTGAATACATGACCTTCACCCTACATTATCATGAGGACATGGCATTCGCTCTTCAGTCAGGTGTCAAGAGGTTGTTAACCTACCCTCAGGTGACAAAACTGAATTCACCAATTTGACAAGTGAGGGCATGGTATTTACCCTTCCATCAGGAAAGAACAGGGTGTTCCAGCTTCCACCAAGTAAGGAAGGGCATTGAGCCTTCTGTCAGGTGAGAACATGGTGTTCACATGAGAATATGACATGATTACATGATTCCATCAAGTTAGGACACTGCAATGATCCGTTAGTCAGGTCAGGTGAGGGCATTCACTGTTCTTCCAGAGGAAGACAGATTTCACCATGCATGCATCTGAAGATAGGGATCTCGCCCTTCTGTCACTCGGGCACATGCTGTTCACACTTCCACCAGGTGAAGACAGTGCATTGAACCATACTCAGGTTTTAAATGGGACTTGATCATGCCACAAAGAAGGACAAGGTGATCACCCTTCCATGCTCTGAGGAGAGTCCTTAGCTCTACCATCACAAGATGAAATGGCACTCACACTTCTCTCAGGTGAGGACATAGCACTCTCTCTTCCCTCAATCGAGGACAGGGCATTCATTGATCCTTTGCAGGAAGGCATGGCCTTCACCTTTGCCACCATGTGAAGAAGTAGCTTTCACTTTAGTGACAAGTGAGATCAAGGTGTCCACCTTTCCCTTAGGTGAGGAAAGGACATCCCCCCTTCCATCAGCTGAGTACATAGAGCTCACTCAGCCTTCCAACAGGTGATGAAACTTGTATTCACACTTCCACAGCTGAGCACAGGACCTTCATGCTCGCATCGCATGGGATCGTGGAATGCACCTTCCCATTTGTTGAGGACACAGCACTTGAACTTCTGTTATATGAGGGGACTGAGTTCACCCTTCCATGCAGAGGACAGGTCATTCACTCTTCCTTCACGTGACAACACGGCCTTCACCCTGTCATCCTGTGAGGACCCTGCATTCATTCACCCAACACACACGTGAAAACATAACCCTCACCCTTCCATCAGATGAGCACAGGACACTCAACCTTTCCTCAGGAGGGGACAAGTCACCCACTGTAACCTGATGATTCAGCCTTCACTTTTCCATCATGTGAGGACAGGACCTTCACCCTGACTTCACATAAGGACTCAGCATTTACTTACTCTCACATTAGGATGTGGTCTTCATCCTTACGTCAAGTGAGTAGAAGGCATATCCCCTTCTGTCAGGTGATTACTGGATACCAATTCTTCAGTTAAGAGAAGACAAGGTGTTCACACTTCTATCCGTGAGGAGGGAGGAGCGATCATACTTCTGTGCGGGAGCAATACGGTGTTTGCCCTTCTCTCCAGTGAGGACACAGAAATCACCCATTGGATGAGGACAGTTGTACACAATCTCGCAGGACACTTGAAGTGATTATTTTTCCATCAGCAGAGAACAGGGCATTGACACTTCCCTCAGCTGAGGATAGTGTGTTTACTCTTCCCACAGTATTGAAAAGTGTGTCACTGTTCGACCACATGAAGACATGGCATTGATGATGAAATGGCATTCATACATGTACCAGGTGAGGACATAGCATTCGTCCTTCCCTTGGCTGAAGACAAAGCTACACGGAGTTTACCTATTACATTTCCAACAGTGGATAGCAGAGAATTAATGCTTTCCTCAAGTGAAGGTAGCAGGTTTACTCTTTCACCAGGATTTCAAGGGCCATTCATCATACAACCCAATAAAAGCATGACATTTACCTTTCCATAATATGAGGAAAGGGCATTAACTCCACCATCTCAGATACAATGGCATTACACTTATGTTAGGTGAGTGCATGGCATTCACTCTTCCCTTACGTATGAACAAGGCATTGAGGAAGCAACACTTACCCTTCCTCAGGTGAAGGCATGACCTTCACCCTCTCACCTCATGAGGACACAACTTTCACCACACTGACAAACAGGTGAGGGCGTCCACTCTTCCCTTAGGTGAGGAAAGAACATTCCAGCTTCCCCCAGCTGAGTGCACAGAGTTTGCTCTTCCATCAAATGTGGAAATTGTGTTCTCATTTTCATCAGAATTTCACTCTTCCATCAGTTGCAGATAGGATTCCCGTTCTGTGTGGATGCACAGCACCCAAGTTCTATCATTTCAGGACATGGGTCATCATTAATGTCAATGGAACACGGCATTCACTCTTCCATCATGTGATGACTTATTCTTCTCCATATCAACACATGAGTACCTGAATTCCCCAACAATCCTCCAAAACATGTCCCTCACCTTTCCAGCATTCAACCTTCCCTCAGAGGAAGACAGAGCATTCACTCTCCAATCTCCTTTGTACTCCTCATCCACCCTTCTAGCTCATGAAGACAGGAGCTTCCCTTGAGGACATGACATTCACTGTACTCACATATTAGGTCACAGACTTTGCCATTCCCATAGGTGACGAGAAGCGTCATTTGAGCACCGAGTGATAATTATTTGGCCACTAGAGACAGGATGCTCACACTTCCCTTGGTAAGAAGTGGGCATTCAACCTTCTATAAGGTGAGGACACATCATTTGCCTTTCAGTCCAGAGGGGACAGACGTCACCTTTCCCTTGAGTGAGGAGATGGCACTTACCATTCCTCAGGTAAGGATGAGTGATTACCATTCCATGAGCAGAGAATAGGACAATTTACACTTCCAGTAAATGTGGACAGCACATTCACTTTTCCATTAGGATTGAAAAGGGCATTGAGCATTTGAACAGATGATGACAAGGCTTTTACCCTTCCATCATGTGAGTATGGCATGCTCACTCTGCAATTGTGAAATGGCATTCAACTTCTACAGATAGGGACATGGCCTCATGCCTTCCCTCAGTTGAACTCAGCATTCACCATTCCTTCACTGGAGGACATGAACTTCACCCCCTCACCAAGTGAGGACATGGCTTTCACCCTACTGAAACATGAGATGAGGCTGTCCATCCTTGCCTCAGGTGAGAAGACATCCATCCTACCATCAGCTGAGTACACAAAGTTTATCCTACCATCATGTAAGGAACCTGCATTTGTGCTGACATCAATTAAGGTAGGACCTTCACTGTTCCATTAGATGCAGACAAATCTTTTCACCTTCCCATTTGATGTGGACACAGCATTCAAACTTCTGTCATGTGAGGGTATGGGTCCACCTCTCCACATCTGAGGACTGGAAACTCACTCTTCACTTACATGATAGCAAGTCCTTCACCCTCTCATAGTGTGAGGTCTCTGCATTCACTTGACACGCCCATGATAATTTATACTTCACTCTTCCATCAAATGAGCACAGGGCATTCAACTTCCCATCAGGAAAAGAGAGAGAATTCACCCTACCATCACCCGAGGACTCTGCATTCCATTACTTGAGGACAGGGCCTTCACCCTATCTTCACCTGAGGACACAGAGTTCACCTTACTGCCACATTAGGACATGGACTTCAACTTGCCTTAAGGTGAAGAGAAGGTATTCAGTCTTCCATCAGGTGGGTACTGGATGGTAGTCATTCAGTCAATAGAGGACAGAGTTTTCACACATCTCTGAATGAGAAGGCATTCAAATTCAGCAAGATGAGAAAATGGTGTTTGCCTTTCTGTCCAGCAAGGTCACATTCCCACAAGAGTGTACAACTGATTGCACTTCTATCAGCAGAAAATAGGACTTCTATCTTTCCATCAAATGAAGACAGCTATTTATTCTTCCCTCAGGATTGGAAAGGTTACTCACCATTCCACCAAGTAAACACATGCCATCCACCCTTCCTTCATGTTAACAATACAGTCACAAGATGAAATGACATTCACACTTCTGCCAGGGGAGGACAAAGCATTCACCCTTTGCTCATGTATGAGCAAGGCATTCCTCTTCCTTTGGCTGAAGACAGGACATTAACCATTTCTTCCTTTGGAGACATGACTTTTGCCCCTTCACCACTTGAGGACACAACTCTCAACCTACTTACCCAAGAGATGAGGTGTCCATTCTTCCTTGAGGTGAGGAAAGAACACTGTACTTTCATCATATGAGTACACAGAATTCACACATCCATAAAGTGTTGAAAGTTCATGCAAGCTCCTGTTGAAAGAAAGACCTTCACTCTTCCATCAAGTGTGAATAAATCACCCATCTTCATGATGCTACAGTGACGACACAGCATTCAAACTTTCATCATGTGAGTGCACAGGGTTTGCCTCTCCATGGCTGTAGACACTGTTGCATAATAAGACCATCTGTTCTTCATTCTGTCATCACATGAAGACTCTATTCATCAGTCACCCACATGACAAAATGTCCTTCATCCTTCAATCACAGGGCATTCAACCTTCCATGACCAGAGGATAATGCATTCATTCTACCATCACCTAAGGACCACACATCATATTCTATCACAGAGGACAGGACCTTCACCCTGTATTGACATGAGAACATGCATTCACCTTGCTCATGTTAGGATGTGGTGCTCATCCATCCGTCTGATGAGAGGAAGGCATTTGGATTTCTAGCAGTTTTGTGGTGGGTGACAATTCTTCCATCAGTAGAGGATAGGGTGTTCTCACTTCCCTCTCTGAGAAAAGGCCTTCAACATTCTGTAACTTGTGATCGTGGTGTTTTTGCAATGAGAACATAGACTTCAATCTTGAAGCTGAGGGGGATTGAGGGGACTTTACCATCCCCCAGGTGAATACAAGTGATTACCCTTCCATCAGCAGATAGTAAAGAATTCACCCTCCCCTCAGGTGAGGGCAGTATATTTGCACTTCCCTCAGAATTTCAAACAACATTCACACTTCCACCTTGTGACTTACTTTTCCTGTTTGATGTGAGAACAGGGCATTAACCCTACCATCGCAAGATTAAATGGTATTCATACTTCTGTCACGTGAGGACATGGCAGTTACCAAGTCCCCATGTGTGATTAAAGCATTCTCCATCCTTTCCATGCAGACAGGACATTCTCTCTTCTTGCATATGAAGACATTACTTTTACCGTGTCACCACATTAGAAAACACCTCATTCACTCACCCAAAACTTGAGATCAGGGTGTCAACACTTTCATCATGTGAGGAAAGAACATTCCCCTTTCCAGCGGTTGAGTACACATGGTTCATCTTTATACCACGGGAAGAAACTGCATTCAGGCTTGCATCAGCTGAAGATAGGACCTTCATGTGTACACCAGGAGGTCAGGAAATGCATCTTCCCATTTAATGAAGACACAGAATTCAAACTTCTGTCATTTAGGAAGGCACAGCGCTTCTTTCCATGGCTGAGGACAGGGAATTCACTCTTCTGACACATGACAACATGGCCTTTACCCTGTTTTCATTTGAGGGTCCAGCATTCCCCCACCATTCATGTGACAAACTCTCTTCATCCTTTCATTAGGTGAAAAAAATTGCAGTCTCTATCACAAAGAAGATTTCGAGTGAATGCCCTTCCACCGCCTCGGGTGAAGGCGGCATGTTTACTCTTCCATCAGGGTGGGAAACAGTATTCCCCATTCCACCAGCTGAAGACATGGCATTTAACATTCCATTGAGAGAGGACTGGGTATTAGCACTTACCATCCCAGGAAGAAACGGTGTTCCCACTTCTGTCAGGTGAAGACATGCCATTTGCCCTTAGCATATGTGTGAACAAGGCATTATTCCTGCTCTCAGTTGAGGACAGAAAATTCACTATGCTGACACAAAAGATGAAGGTGTCTGACCCCCCTCAGGTGAGGAAGGACAATTGGCTTGCATCAACTAAGAACAAAGAGCTCACCCCTTGACATGGTAAGGAAAATGTGTTCATACCTCCCCTAGTTGGGACAGGACCCTCCTTCATGTGACAGGCACAGACAGGCCATTCATTTTCCCATTCAACGAGGGCACCACATTCAAACCTCTGATATGGGAGATGACAGGGTTCACTTCTCCATGACTGAGGACAGGGCATTCCTCATTCCATCAGATGACAACACGATCTTCAGCCTATTAAGATGTGAGAGCCCTGCGGTCACCCAGCCCTCACCTGAAAACACATGAATCACCTTCCGTCAGTGAAGACAAGAACTTCTTGCCATCTTCACATGAGGACACTCTATTCAGTTTACTCTCACATTAAAACTCTGACTTCACATTCTGTCAGCTGAGAGAAGGAATTTGGCATTCTTCAGTGGAATACTGGGGGAGAGGTCTTCAGGCTGGAGTAGACATTGTGTCCACTCTTCCCTGTGTGGGGAGGGGGCATTCAGATTCTGTAAGGTGAGAGCACAGTGTTTGCTCTCTGTCCAGTGATGACACAGACTTCAGCGTTCCATTAGGTGAGGAGACGACATTCACTACCTCGCGTGAGAGTTCCAGTGAATGCACTTCCTTCTGCCAAGAATAGGGCATTCAGTCTTCTCTCATGAAGACAGACCTTTACTCTTTCCTCAGGATTGTAAAGCACATTCATCATTCCACCCGATAAGCACAGGGTGTTCAAAGTTCCATCATGGAGGACAGAGCATTAGTGCTACTATGACAAGACAAAATGGCACCCACCCTTCTCTCACATAGGAACAAGCCTTTCTCCCTTCCCTCTGGTGAGGACAGGACAATCATCACTCCTTCAAGTGGGGACATGATCTTCACCAAATCACCACGGGAGGACATGACATTCATCCTACTGACATATCTAATGGGGCTGTCCACCCTTCCCTCAGTTGAAGAAAAGACATTCTTCCTTCCATCAGGACAGGAAATGGAATTCACACTCCTGACAGTGAGGACCAGACCTTTTCTTTCCTTTGTGCACACAGCCTTCCCCTTCCTTTTGATGAGGACGCAGCATTCAAGCTGCCCTCATGTGAGGGGATGGAGTTCTCCTTTTCATCACTGAAGACAGGGCCTTCACTCCACCATCCCTTGATGATTTGCATTCAGCCTGTCATGATGTGAAGACAGGGCCCTCACTCTGTCCCACATGCAGACACAACCTTCCACTTACTATGGAGTCAGTACCTGGGCCTGAATTTTCCATCGGGTGAGAAGGAATTTAACACACCTCACATGAGCACAACGTGATTATCCTTCCACCGGTGAAGAATAGCGCATTCACCCTTCCGTCACTTGATGACACGACCTTCACCCCATCATCATGTAAGGACCCTGCATTCATATGGGAATATGTCCCTCAGACATCCAACACAGTAGCATAGTTACTCCATATACCATCAGGAAAGAATAGAGTATTCACACTACCACAATCTGAGGACTTCAGATTCACCCCTTTATCCATGAGAACAGAACCTTCATCCTATCATCATGTGAAGACATGGTATTCACCCTCATTCCAAGTTAGCACATGGCCTTTGCTCTTCATTCAGGAAAGAAGGCTTTGGACTCCCATTATGGGAGTATGTAGTGATAATCCTTCAGTTGTTGGGAATAGGGTGTTCATATATCCCTTGGAGAGGGACCTCTGTACAGTGAGAACACAGACTTCACCCTTTCTTTGGTTGAGGAAAAGGTACTCACGTTCCCATAGGAGTGAACAAATGATTCCTTACCTGTCACCACACATTGGGGCATTTGTCCTTCCATCAGGTGAGAACAGGACTTTAATTCTACCAGCATACAATGAAGTGGCATCCACACTTATGACAGGGGAGGACATGGCATCATCGCTTCCCTCAGCAGAGACGGAACACCCACCGTTCCCTCACATGAAGATGTGACTTTCACTCTGTCATCACATAAAGCCATAGCTTACACTCTATGGGCACACGAGATGAGAGTGTCCTCCCTCTCCTGAGATGACAGAAAGACATTCCCCCTCCATCAGCTCAGTACAGAGTTTTCACCCTTCTAACAGGTGAGGCAGGGCCTTCACGGGTCCATGAGTTGTATTTAAGGCTTTCACATTCTCATTCAATGTGAATAGAGGATTCCAGCTTCTCTCCTGCGAGGGCACAGGGCTCACCTCTCCATGGCTGGGGGCAGGGCATTCACCCTTCCAACATGTGATGCAGCAGCCTTCACACTATCATCATGCAAGGATCCTGCATTCACACGATACTCACGTGACAGTACTCCCTTATCCATTCCAACACATTAGCACAGGGCATTCACTCTTCCATCAGGAAGACAGGACATTCACCCTGCAGTTGCCTGGGGACACCGCATTCATCCTTACTTCGCCTGGGAAAAGAAGCTTAACCCTTTCATGTGAAGACACACGTGCTCTCACATTAGGGCATGGCCTTCATACTTCTGTCAGATGAGGAGAGGCTTTGGCATTCTTCAACAGAGTCTGGGGGAGAAGTCTTCAGTCTGAAGTGGACATTGTGTCCACTCTTCCCTGTGTGAGGAGAGGGCACTCAGATTCTGTAAGGTGAGAGCACAGTGTTTGCCCTCTGTCCAGTGATGACACAGACTTTAGCGTTCCATTAGGTGAGGAGACGGCATTCACTATCAGTGAATGATGAGCTCCAGTGAACGCACTTCCTTCTGCCGAGAACAAGGCATTCAGGACAGGACAATCACCACCCCTTCACGTGGGGACATGATCTTCACCGTATCACCACGTGAGGACATGACATTCATCACACTGACACATCCAAAGGGGCTGCCCGCCCTTCTTTCAGGTGAGGAAAAGACGTTCTTCTTTCCATCAGGAGAGGAAATGGAATTCACACCCCTGACAGTGAGGACCAGACCTTTTCTCTTCTTTCCTTTGTGCACACAGCCTTCCCCTTCCTTTTGATGAGGACACAGCATTCAAGCTGCCCTCATGTGAGGGGATGGAGTTCTCCTTTTCATCACTGAAGACAGGGCCTTCACTCCACCATCCCTTGATGATTTGCATTCAGCCTGTCATGATGTGAAGACAGGGCCTTCACTCTGTCCCACATGCAGACACAACCTTCCACTTACTATGGAGTCAGTACCTGGGCCTGAATTTTCCATCGGGTGAGAAGGCATTCAACACACCTCAAATGAGCACAATGTGATTATCCTTCCACCAGTGAAGAATAGTGCATTCACCCTTCCATCAAATCAGTTCAGGGCATTCATGGGAAAGCAGGATGTTAACATGACTGTCATTTGGTAAAATCGCATTCAGCCTTCCATCAGGTGAAATTGTATTCACACCTCCCACCTGACAACAGTACCTTCATTTAGGAGAGGACATGGCGTTCGCTTCCATCCAGTGCAGACAGGGTGTTCCACATTCCACAACCTGAAGTTGCAGCATTCAACTTACCTGCGCTTGAGGACACAGACTTCACACCCCTGTCAGATGGCGATGGGGCACTCACCTGTCTGTTGAGGATGTAGAATGTCACTCACGCTGTCATCTCATGAGGTAACAGCATTATGACAAGTGAGCTTACATTCTTCAGCCTCCCAGACCCTAGCCCCAGACGGAGTGAGGCGCATCAGCAAGGTGTTGCCCTATCACTGCACACCACTTAGGACAGATGTCCAGGACTCCTGTTGGGTCCCCATGTCAAGGGTGACTCCTGGTGGCCAGCAGGCAGAGACCCTGAGTTACATATCTGTTTGGGGACAGGTGGCTTCGGTAAAACAAGTGCTCTGACCCCACATTGACACTCAAGCAGTGAGTTGTTGATGCTCCCACTAATGAGCACCCAGTCTCTCATGCCACCTAATTCAGCTTCCCAGTAACCCACACATAGGGTCTCTCCAAGAATAGATCACCTTCGCAGTCCAGGTGTCATCCCCAGGCAGCTTCTGCTCCTGGGAAGGAATTGGTGCAGAACCCTGAGAACCTGGACTAAGGCCCCATCCACCTGCTGAGTTGGGCCAGGGGAGGGAAGCCCCATCCTCTGCAGCCCTAAGACTCAGCCTCAGCCTCAGAAACTTGAGAGACAGGGCTGAGGCAGCCTTCCTGACAGTGGACCCCTGGGAGGGGGCACTGGGACTGTAAGCACTGGCCATACCATGGGCTCTACCCTGCCACAGACCCATACTGGGAGCCATGCCTGAGAACTGCCTGGTGCTACCAGTGGTACAGGTCCCAGTTCCTTCAGATACTCACACCCTTTTGGAGGGTCCACCACTTCTACCTGTTCTATACCTGGCCCACTGACCCACCTCCCAACCCCACCCTTGCTACCCCTCAGAAAGTGACCATGTCTCCTGCCCCCGCACCTTCTTCTTCCCAGGCTCTGCCATAACCACAAGCCCAATACCCTGCAAGGATCCCAACGCCAGCCTCACCTGTGTTTCAGCCTGGCTGCTCACATCCATCCTGAACACCCCCAAGCCACCATTCCACCTGTCGCCTCAGCCGCCACCCCAGCCCCCTCCCCTCTAGCTGTCCTAGGACAATAGTGGGGAATCCAGGCCCAGCTGCTCCATACCAGGCCCTGATTCTCCTCCCAGCAGAGACCCAGGGGCAGGTGTCCTGTGCTGCAAGCACCTCCTGCCCTGGTCATCCTCAGTGAGTCCTCCCCAGACAGGGCTTCAGCTCACATGGCCTCCCCTGACTACCCCTCAGGTCCTTCCCTAGATGTCGCAGGCCTGGCCCCACATCTCCCAATAGGCTGCTGGAGGCCACACACCTGGGGGCCCAGGATCCTGCCCCGTGTCCAGTTCTGTCCTGGTCAACTCTCCCGAGTGGCTTGCTGGGAGCCCAACACTGACCTGGGCCTGTCCTTGGATGAGGCTGGGGATAAGGTCCCAGCCCTGGGCAGAAATGTCCCATAGCCAGAGAGGAATTTCTGAAAACAGAGCTTACCCTGAGATGAGGTGGTGCAGACGGCTCACTGAAGTGTGGGTCCTCAGCCTGCCTGCCAAGGGGCAGGGCGGCTCGTCTTTCTCTTCTCAGGGCATCACCAGCAACCCTGCAGCCCCCATGGGACCTGGGTGGCAGACCAAGGCCCCAGCAGGAAACAGGACAGCTCTGACCTCTCTTGCAGACTGAAGGAGTCCAGACACTGTGACCAGGGCAGCAGCACATGAGGCTGAAACCTGCCTCCTCCAGGCAGCTGCCAGGCCTACACCTATACAGATACTAGCTAATGGTCACTGCTCACTCCGAGGCCACCAGAATCTCAAGGGCTTCCAATTTCCAAGCTGCAACACCAAGATGCAAGCATGACACACCTGCCGAGAACCACAGGCTGGCTCCCTTAGGCTTCTGGCCCTCTAATCACAGTGAGAAATGACTTCACAGCCAGACCAGCAGCACCCAGTACTCAGAAACCAAGAGCGATCTGGTCCAGGAGACGCGGACACAAGGCAGGCTAGCGGGGGCAGCCCCTGTCCCTCTACCCGGAGGGGACAGAAGGAAGGAGCCTCCTCAGCCAACTCCCAGACAGAGTGTCCACATCTCTGGTGCATCCACAGCAGAACAAGCTGCCCCAGCTGTAAGCGCTGACCTGATCACCCACCCACAACCCATCTCCCAGCACAGACTCACACCAGGGACAGGTTCTCATCCTCCCCACCGGGTCACTGGGAGGAATTATGAGACAACTGTATACACACAGCACACAATGGGCTGCTGAGTGCTCAGCTGCCATCACAGTGGGCAGCAGCCCTGAGAGGTCAGCACCACTCGCCTCATAGTCACTGGCCCCTGCTCTGGGCAGAAGGAGAGCAGCTCCCACCCACCTCTACCTGGAATCTGTCCACCTCCGGTCTAGAAAACCAACCCAGCTGCATCTGGTGTCCTCCAACTGCCAGTTGATGTGCAGGGAGCCTGCTGGGTGGCGGCGACATCATCAGGTTCCACAGCTGTGTCACAATGCCTCTGTCCCAGGGAAGCAGTATCAGCCAGGCTCCTCAAGCCCAGGAACAGTTAAATCCCCCTAGAGGTGGGGTCAGAGATCTCTGCAGGGCCAAGAGAGGAGGGCAGGTGCATGACACATGTGCCAGGAGCCCAGGGGTGCCTGTGCCTACTGTCACCTGCAGGCCAAGGTCCTGAAACTCTGCGGCACACCAGCTTCAACTCTTCCCCCTGTGACTCCTCTGAAATTACATTTGTATCTGTTTTTAGGGTTTTTCTTCCTTAATAAATATGATAACAGAAAGTCCCCACATAT